ATTTCAAATATATATATATATTTTTAGTAGGCATACTAGTACTTCTTTTATATTATTCTGAAATCTGATCTGATCCACCCTGTATTTGTTTCGATTAAATGGCATCAGTAGATAGTAAATAGAATGTTAGGATAGGGACACATGTAAGCCATTTTGACAAATCAATATAGGTATTGTATAGTTTCGATACAAAAAAAATCTCGATTTTTCACATTCTACGTATAGGTATACATTGAGCTTGATCAACGAAATCATAGCTCAATTAGAAGAATCGAAAAATGTAATAAAATATAAGGTGTTCCATTTTGAATAACAAAGCTGCTACTACTATACTACTAAGTACTACATAACTACTAATAATAATTTCTAGTGAAGCAGATGAACACTATCGAAAATAATTTGAATAAAACGAGCGTCCTCGCCAACAAAACATAAGCATATAATATGTACATATAGTTTCATGATTTTCGATGAGTGGTTCGCTATTTACATGTAGGACTCGTCGTGACATAGCGAATTATTGCAAATCAAATCATCGCTTTCATTATCTGATAGGTCGCAGTAGATCACTTGATGCCTATCAAATGTTTCTTATTTATTCGAAAAAAAAATGTTGAAATGTGATCAAGAAAACTGTTGGTGGCCCACCCCGTACTACAAAAACAAAGACAGCATGAGAGAAGCTGCCTGCCCACTCATTGTATCATGACTGCCTGCTTACGTCTCGGTCTCCCCAGCGCTAAGGTAACGATCGAGCGTGTTCGGTGAACACACGGGTATGATCTCGAGACTCTTGTCTACATGGGTGCATTGGCCCCGATGCCCCCATGCATTCGCCGCCTTTGGTTTCAAGTCCCAGGTAACACATCAAATTGGCTGAATCATGATTTCATATTAGGCCGATATAGATATAGTGTGCATATACTATTGGTCCAATATATGAGAGTAGGTACCTATATTGAAAATACAATATTCGAATGATAATATTGATGGAATATTGGTTCAACCTGAGCTGAATTTGAATTGATAGCTACAATATTGTAGCAATATTGGTTGAAAAGTTCGTTTACAATATGTGGAGAAACATAGATATTGATGTAATATAGTTTTGTTTCACGAATGTTGGTACAGCAACATCGTATACAAATATCGTTTTCAACAATAATTCTAACCAATATTCCAATTTGAACATTTTCCCATGTCGATTCTGAAGAGGTCATGCAAAATTGTATATTCGAGTTCGACGGCACATTGGTTGAATATTGTTTCAACAATATTCTAAATATCATATTTACCTATATTGATTGATATCGTTTTGACTTTATCATGCGGAAGATATCTGATACATATTGCTCCAAAGATGAAATTCTATATCGGCCATTCGGTAATTTTCTCCATATCGGTCATAGAAGAGAGAAACAATATGGTATTTCCAAGTTCAATTGCATATCGGTAACATTATGTTTTGAAGATACATATCGATATCGGATTTTTGATATTTATTTATATAATATGGTGTGCTACTCAGGTATCTTGAATTCATTTTTTCTGTGTTTAACGTCATTGCGAGTCTATACTCGCAACAAAATGATCACGGCGACTTGGGCAAACTGATAACTGTGAGCTCAGACTGCGACCAATTGTTTTACTCGCAGTGACGTATACAAGATGCATCGTACATATTCTTCCAATATTTTCAAGGGACGAAAACACAGTATCATAATAAATCCCAATGATCCACCAATATTTCCAACTAATCAAATGTTAACATTTCTATCCTAGCCAATATTGATTTTTTATTCATGACCATTATAACTCTATGAATATTGAACCAATATTGGTCTGAAAATATTTCACCAATGTTTTCAAGATGGCATTGCAACATGCTGATTCCTAATATTCCACCCATATTTCGAAACTAAACTGGTCAACATTGATAACGTCGTGCTCCAAAATATAGCCTCAATTGAAAGTAGAATAACTCACAAATTTCCTCACCACTTTGAAATCGGTTTCCACCGATGATTAGCCTAATCTCTTGACAGTTTTTTGTGGCAATATGAAACTTCTGTAATTTCAAATAACATTGCTACAGGGTGATAATTGAATGGGTATAAAATTGCATCGTGGTCGTCACCTCACCGTTTGAACAGAATTTTATTTTTCTCACCTGTATCCGCTTGATTGATGTTTTCTCTTGAAACATTTCCGGAAGTTTTGAATTTAGAGCTTTGATAATCGTGTTATGAATATTCATTCAGAATGATGAATGTTTTCGACGATTAATTGAATGAAATTGAAAGTTGGAATTCTCTCCCGAAGAATCAACGTTATATGTATAGTCGTCGGATATGTGATCGTGTTCGAACACAAAAAATTCTGAAAAAGTCTATACAAAGTGATACAAGAAATACTAAATGATGGAATGGAGAATAACGTAGTCTCCAGTAGATGAAACATAATTTTCTCTGTGTTACTAGTGGTATAATGGAGTGTCACTTCGTCATGAGGATGTCTGGTGTCTGACCTAGAGATGGTTTTGTAATTTCTTGGATCGAAGGTCATAATAATAATAATAATAATGTATTTATTCCTTGAATTGATCATACAAAAAATGATATAGGAATCGTCAAAAAAAAGTTGTATAAAATTATTATAAAGAGAATATACAAACACATAAAAGTTGAAATATTGACATAAAGATAAAATGGGTCTAACATTCAAAACATCCAAAAACTATGATTGGAGGTAAACATTTGAAATACAATCACATTAAAAATAAAAATACAAATACAAAAATACAGATACAATCGCCTCACTTCAGATTTTTGTCTCCAAAAATTCCTTCACAGAATAAAAACTTCTTTCCAGCAGATAATCCTTCACTTTTTTTTTAATTTTACGAGAGATGATATTTCCTTAATATCTGAGGGCAGGGAATTGAAGAACCGCGGACCAGTTGTGAGGTGTGACTTTTGAAAAATCTGAGTGCGGTGTTGTCTCAACCTCAGTAAATTACCGCTCCTTGTAGGATAAGTATGAGAATTTTCATTTGTTTCGAACTTGGGATCGTGTTTTTTCATGTCAATTACAAAATGGTAAAAATGTATATAGAAGGTAGTGTTAGAATTTTATGTTTTTTGAAAATAGGTCTACATGATTCGGTATATTTCAGACCATATATAAGTCGAATTATGCGTTTTTGACCAATGAAAGCCCGATCAATCGTAGTACCATTACCCCACAGGAGGATATTGTAGGAAAGTACTGAGTTCACCATTGCATAATAAACATCGACAAGAATATTCACACCCAAAACTTTTTTGAGCTGCAGTAGAGCATATATATATAATGGAAGTACGCATTTTTATTCGAAATGATGCATTTTCGTTATGATAAATTATAAAATTCAAAAAATTACGATTGTAGTTCCAGAAGTATGAAATTCATATTCATTCTTGACGATGGATATTCAAGGTGGGATAAAAAGTATGTCCAGATTGTCCCGGGATGAAGGAGGATATGTTTAAACGTGATGAAAATCGCTATGTTCCGAAAAAGAAATAAAGTGTCGGTCATTGTCGAAATTTGTGAAATGTATAAATACAGTAACTTTTCATGAGGTTTATACGAGGAAATATAAACGATATATATTAGATATAATGTTTCTCATACTAATGAAAATGAATACGGTAAGTCCTCATGAGGCTCATACGATGTAATAAGAACGAGACTTCACATATCGGAATGAACGTCAATCACATATGCAATTAGAATTTTTCTGACGTGAGAAAACATAGTAAAAATAATTGTGAGTATAAGTTAGGAAATCTTTATTTTTTCAACGGAATTTGTCAAATCTATAGCATCAGGTGAGATATTATAAATTCCTCATGAATCACCCTGTGAAAAAGATAATAAAGAAATGAGCATTCAAGAGTTATTGTATCTTCATTCAACTTCAACATTCCACGTATTTCGACAATGACCGACACTATATTTCCTTTCCGGAACATATAGCGATTTTCATCACGTTTAAACATAACCTTCTTCGTCCCGGGATAATCTGGACATACTTTTCATCGCACCTTGTATATCCATCGTCAAAAATGAATATGAATTTCATACTTCTGGAACTACAATCGTGATTTTTCGAATTTTATAATTTATCTCAACGAAAATGCATCAATGCGTACTTTCATTATATGACTTTCGATTCAAGAAATTACAAAACCATTTCGAGGTCAGACACCAGGCATCCTCATGACGAAGTAACACTTCATTATTCCACTAGTAACACAGAGAAAATTATGTTTCATCTACTGAAGACTACGTTATTCTCCATTCCATCATTCAGTATTTCTTGTATCACTTTGTATAGACTTTTTCAGAATTTCCTGTTCTCGAACACGATCATATATTCGACGACTAGTAAACAACATTGATTGTTCGGAAAAGAATTTCAACTCTCAATTTCATTCAATTAATCGTTGAAAAAAATGCATCATTCTGAATGAATATTCATAACACGATTATCAAAGCTCTGAATTTAGAAATTTCGAAAATATTTCGGGAGAAAGCATCAATCAAGAGGGTACAGGTGAGAAAAAAAATTAAAGAAATTATCTGTTCAAACGGTAAGGTGACGACCACGATGCAATTTTACACCCATTCAATTATCACTCTGTAGCAATGTTATTTGAAATTACAGAAGTTTCATTTTGCCACAACAAACTGTCAAGAGATTAGGTTAATCATCGGTGAATACCGATTTCAAATTGGTGAGGAAATTCGTGAGTTATTCTACTTTGAATTGAGGCTTTATTTTGGAGCACGACGTATCAATGTTTTGAACCAATATCGCCGAATGTTCACATTTTGTTCCTCGCCAATATTACGTTCACAATATCTTGCCGATATTTTCTCAATATTGCACCAATATTGTCCTTATAAATGTGTGCTACTTGGGTTAGAAGTATCATGGAACTGGTTCGTTCCAGGAGAAATTCAACCGGCCCCGCGTGAAGCTCATCAAGTCTCCGTGGGACGCGGCCCTTGAGACCGGCTCTGTGGAGGCGGCCTTCTACGAGGAGCCCGCTTGGCCCACCAAGGGCAATTACGTGGCGCCTGCAGTGGACTCGTACGAGTCGGCCCTGAGAAGGGACGAGTTGGCCAACTGGACAGTGCCCAAGGAGAATACCAGGTATACTGGGTGATTCAAATAATTCGAGGGTCACCATTGGAATCTCGGAAACTATAGGAGATACGAAGATGGAGAAATTAGTGCAAAGTTGCGCATTCATGTGACTGAACTCATGCCGTCGAGAGAATTGATAAATTCCTAGTATTTCCGGAGATATAAGGAAAAACAGAAATTTTGTGATTATTTTTTCGAATATCCGAGGTTGTGAGGATGCAAGGTATAACTTGTTATAGGTAAATCATTGAAATCAGATAACAATATGCTATGTTTATTGATGAAAATCCAATATAACGCCCATCGGAACAAATGAAATTGATGATAGTAGCGTGAGGTCGAATCGTCGGATGGTGAATCTGAAAATATCATCGTATAGCATGGAAAAAGTGGCCATGTAACTATGCTATCAATTTTTATATCATTGTAGGAATAACGCAAGAGAAAAATAAATGTGATTTCACAAAATTTCTGTTTTTCCCGTATATTTCCGGGAATACTCGGAATTTATATATTTCTTCGACGGCATATGTTTAGTCTCATGAATGCGCTACTTTGCTCAGATCCAACCATCTTCCCAGCCAGCACACACACACACGTCAATTTCACGTCATATATGCGTCACCAATTACGTCGAAATGACCAAATTATCGACGTGAATGTGACGTCAATATGTCACAGCAAAACGACGTCATTCATGGACGTCGTAACGACGTCAGCTAGCGACGTCCTCTACACGTCGAATAAGTTACCAAGTAGGTCCAGGTTTTGATATCACCAAGAAACTGTGAAACTCTAAATCACTTTCTCATGATCCTAATCCTTATTGATTGGCAAAACAATGTATCCGTATCTGTTACGAAGTTATCTCTTTCAGGGTGTTTTTTATTAATATTTGTTCTACATATTTCACCACTTAGTTTTATCCATGTCGGGTATACGTGAATACTCATTACTAAGGTAAATACCTATTTTATTTTGATAAGCGTTCAATCATGAGTTCTGGATATTCAGATCATGGAGTAATTGTTTCGAAATAAAACAAAATGATTGGTGCAGATGTTACGTCTAAATGACGTCAAATGACGTCTATCAGATACGTATTTGGAACACGTCAAAATGACGTCAATTATTGGTCGAATTTGACGACGACCAATTGCCACCTATATTATCCACATCGATTCGACGAGAATTGACGTCACCCTGCTGGCTGGGTTTGTATCTCCTATAAGTTTCAAGATCTCAATGATGGCCCTCAAATTTAAATTATTATTATTATGAAAGCAGCATATGTGTCTGCGTGCGAAAAGTAAGTGACGCTTATTGTCAAACAAAGTGTCACATCTGATCCTAATGAAAAATGTACCATTTTAATGAAGGTCGACTTGAAAAACCCATCATATACACGAATTTCATTCGCTAGAGCACCAATAAATGTTCCTATCAATATTATTATCCATTTCTTCTGAACATCCAATTTTTTTCCTTTAACATTTGAAATGATTTCGATATTTTGACAGAAAAGTTCCTTTCGTTGTGATGAAATTTGTTTTTTATCACAACAGATTGAACTTGAAGAAATAACTATCATCACAAAAGACAGTTCTGAACAATTGAAAGAATAATACTATAAAAGTTTCCCAAATCGAATAGTTTTGTATACTATTGAAAGAATTATTTTGGTAACCCTAGAAATGGTATATTTTGGCAGCATTGCAAGCACTGTGGTAGAAGAAAATCTGGTGTATTATCCTAAACGTTCTACAAACTGCAAACTGATTAAGTAATTCACTGGGGCGTCTTGAAATATTCCTGCCAATATCCAGCGATTTCCCAAGAACATGTCTTTCATAAGTTTCATATAAACTATAAATATCATCGAGAAATATTTGATTCATTTGAAGAAAAAATATGATATATATTATTTCAGTATAGGAATTTGATATGTGATATTTTCATATATAATACCACAAGTGATAATATTTTGCCGGAAATATTCGGTGATTGTTACCTAGTAATTTCGTGAATGACATTGTTATCAAAACTACGAGCCGTAGGCGAGTAGTTTTGGATCAATGTCATGAGCGAAATTAGAGCAGTGAGCTGGAGTATGTCAATCGACGAATATTTTCAGGAAAAATAGTATCACGAGTTGTATTCTTATGACTATTTCATGATTGAATGAGACAATATATATAAGAAATAGGAAACATAATTTAAGTATATTTTAACTCAAACTGCGAAGAAGAACATAATGATAGTAATGAAATACAGAATTCAATTTTTTAGAAATTAACTACCTACTTATAGTTATTCACAAAGTGGAATGTACAATTTTGATGAACAGTATTTTGTTTATTATCTTGGAGATGGTTGCTCTCAAAAGAGTGTATACAGATGTAGCAGGACAAGAGTGGCGATACTCTTTGCTTTTCATGTGCTAGTAATCTTTCTATTCAAACTATCTGCCTATTCGTCAAATAAATAGATGTCGCCTGCATCCACATTCTAGTCCTAAATTTTTTGCGTGTTTATCAGTCCGGTACCCACGAGAGTTTTTCTTGTTGAGCATTCGTGTTGGTGTTGAAGAAATTGGGAGAAAGAGAAATTGGACGTCATGTCAATCTTTGCGTAATCCGATGCTGTTTTCTTAGTTCGAAATAGCGTATATGAGTAGTCAAGAAGCGAACCTTTTGGTTCTGACAATAATATTATCCTAAGATTATTGGTGCCAGGTCCTTTTTAGATGAAAATATAATTCAAAACATCAGAAGCAATCACTGATTGTTCCTCCCTCAGTTTTGACACCCTACACCTGAGATTTTATTACGTAACCAGCATATCACTTGCCGGTTTTGTGACAACTTGGCGCCCAACGTGGGGCTGAAAGGATAATCAGTGATTATATTTTGGAATAATGGTATTGGGTAATACACCTGTATATGATTTTCGAGCAAGGAGAAGTTTGAACTATGCAAGAATGAATGCCGGACTTCCACAAGCAGATGAAGATGAAACAGTAAGAATGAACAACACACCAGATCAAGGTAGGAGTTTTCCTTTTTCTAACCCATCGGCACCACCAACAACTGTGGCCAGTGAAAGTGTGGTACCACCCTGTTTACCACAGGAAAATCTTCCACGATGTTCTTTGGAATCTCCAGGCAATCCCTCCTCAGTTCAACAGGATCTCAACAGAGATAAAATACCACCAATTACAAGTACTAGGGAAGCAACGAATAGCTATAATGTATTCCCGAATTCTTCCTGGAGCATTCCTGCACAAACAAACGCTTCTTTACCAAGTGCGAGCCAGAACACTTGGTCTAACCAGTTCACTGTCCCACAAATGCAAAACCCTCAGTATTACGGTAGTTACAATGCTGGAATTCCGCCACCTCTTGCACAAATAGGGGCTCAATATCACCCTCAACAGTTTTGGGAGCCACCTAGGCCAGATTTGACAGGCCTCATAACCCAAATCGTATCAACGGTTATGCAGCAACAGCGAAATTTGAATCATAACAATCATAGGATGCATGATAATAATAATAACGAAAATATTGTACAGGGTGGCACAAATAATTTACCAAATTCCGATAACGAACAACGTTCTCAAAATAATTCAAATTCTTTTTCTTTGCTTGAGATTAGCAAAATGATACCAAATTATGGTGATGATGGTAATATACAACCTCTCGAGTTTTTAGAATACTTGGAAAACAGTATCGATGTTGATAGAGTTCCCTTCTGTAAAATAAAAATTTTATTGAATAACGCTTTCAAACAATCAGCCAAACTTTGGTGGGATGCTTTTTCGAATTCTCTCGACAGTTACGATAATTTCAAAGTAGAATTTGTAAGATATTTTTGGCCAATGAAAGAACAACTGAAGGTTAAAATGAAACTCGAAACTGATGTTTATAAGGAAGGGTTGTTTGTTGACCACTTTAATTTCTGGGTGGCCAAGGCTAAATACTTACAGCCCCCTTACTCGGTAGTACAACTAATAGATGTTATTGCTCCACATTTTCCCCCTCCCATTGCAGCGACATTAATAGGTTGTAGATCTTTATCGGATGCTATTTCACGACTTCGCCATGCTGACGATTATTACAAAAATAATTCAGTAGGTAATTGCAATAAAACTTTTTATCAATACAATGATAGAGAACAAAATAGATTTGGAAATAAACCACCAGGTTATCATCGAAATCAACAGAAAAGTAATTTTGGCGAAAAATATAATAAACGAGAAATCGCAAACTTGGATATCGCGGCAGATATCGAGACAGCCGCGGTTCAGGGAAACGATTAATTCCCTCACACTTTTTGTCGAGTGTGAGGGTTCACAAAAACAGCGTTCGCTCCGGAAAAAATTTAAATGGTTTAAATAATCCTTTGAATGATCTTTTAGAAGAACGATGTGACTTTGAACACTCCGTAATTGAAGGTCGTTCACCTTTGATATTGTTGAATATTTACGGGACGAAATTCATCACGCTAGTGGATAGCGGTAGCGCGGTCTCAGCGATTTCTTTAGATGTTTGGACGCAACTTGCAAATTATCACAAGATAATTCCGCATTTCCCTTGTGCAGGCATTAAAATCGTTGGCGCTTTTAAAGGAAAATGTAGAAGAGTGTCTTTGCAGGTCCAAATTGATTTTTCCATCAAGCAGTCTAAGTTATCACAAGAATTTTTAGTAGTGGACGGATTGTCGTACCCAGTTATTCTATAGGGTGCGATTTTTTGCGTTTATTTAAAGCTTGTATAAATTTGGCCCAGCGTTTTCTCACAATACAGATTGAGTATAACGATATCGTGATACCAGAAATTGAGAACTGGGACGACATTAGTGCTCCCGATTCGCTAAATATTAGCGCTATCGTAAATAATAATGGCCTCGAATCAGGAATCTTGAAGAAAATAAAGGAGGAGGACCCTGATTCAAATATTCTCACGAACATTGAACAAAATAAATTCGAAACTTTGTTGAAACAGTATGATGATGTTTTTTCGGACATTCCGGGACTCACCTCGGAATATACACATAGTATCAGATTGAAGAACAAGACGGAATTTTTTGTGAAGCCATACCCCATACCAGTTGCACACCGTGCAGCTGTGGAAAAAATCATAAGCGATATGGAAAACTGGGGGGTAATTGAACGAGCGTCCTCTAAATATATATCTCCTCTAATGACTACTGTCAAGCGGGATGGTAGTGTTAGGGTATGCCTAGACGCACGTAAATTGAATTCCGTTATGGAGCCCGATTTTGAGCTTCCACGACCCATTAACGAGATTATCAAATTAATGTCTGGTAAAAAGGTTATGTCATCGCTAGACCTTACACATGGATACTGGCAGGTGCCTTTGCGTGAGGAGGACCGGCAATACACCGGGTTCATGGTAGGTTTTCGGGTTCTTCCCTTTGGACTTTCGACCGCCGTAAGCTCATTCACTCGATGCATGGATGCCATTTTTGGGCCAGAGTTTAGAGATTTCTTAGTTGTCTATGTCGACGATATTCTGGTAATGAGTTCCACGCTCGAAGAGCATTTAGAACATCTGCAAATGATTTTCAAAAGACTGAAATTGGCGGGCATGACCCTAAAATTGTCGAAGTGTCATTTCTTTCGAAAACAAATGCATTACCTAGGTTATTTACTGAGCAGTGAAGGTGTCAGGCCAAACCCTGACCGAGTGCAGGCTATTGCGGATTATGTTAGACCGAAAAATACTCGAGAATTACAAAAATTCTTGGGGTTGTGTCAATATGACCGAATTTTCACCCCTAAGTTCGCCGAAGTTTCTGCACCTCTCACTGAGCTTTTGAAAAAAAAGGTCCCTTGGAAGTGGGATGACAACAAAGAGCGTGCTTTCCAGAACATCAAAGATGACTTGCAGACAGCTACTTTGCTATACCACCCAGATCTTCAACTATCATGGCATTTTTGCAGACCGATGCCAGCGACGTAGGGATAGCTGCGCTTCTATTTCAGGTGGTAAATGGTGAGCGGCGCGTAGTGGCCTATGCATCAAGATTACTCCTGGATCGAGAACGCCGTTACAGTTCCTTCGAAAAAGAATTGTTGGCAGCAGTATGGGCCATCCAAAAATGGCGCGTTTATTTACTGGGCACTACGTTCACTTTACACACAGACTGTAGGGCTATGACTTACCTCCATAGCTGTCGGCTTCTTTCCCCTCGAGTCACGCGGTGGGCCCTATCTTTGCAGGAGTTTTCATTCCAAGTTATTCACGTTCCCGGCCATGAAAATATTCAAGCAGATGCCTTATCCCGGCACGCCTGTGTTCGTTTTTCCACACCACTTGATAAGTGTTTTGAAATTTGTTCCTCTCTTGTGTTTCCAGCTGAGTTCAATATCTTGTTGAAAGACATGTCTCGTCATCAACGTGTAGATTCCAAGTTAGCTCAAATCATTGAGCAGCTGTCGACTAATGAGAAGCTGCAACAAGGTTTTGCCCTCCACAAGGACATCCTTTTCAAACGAGGTGGTGACGTTGATAAATATCTTCTCTGTGTTCCATCTCAGTTGATTTCTGATTTTGTTATCGCATACCACCAAAGCCTGGGTCATTTTGGGGTATACAAGTGTTGGCGCGCTCTGACAGATGAGGTCTGGTGGACAAATATGTATCGTTCCATCAAACGAGAAGTTTTAAAATGCGAAATATGTCAGAAGGCCAAGGTCTCCACTCTGCCTAGTCCACCCCAAAAGCAGATTGTACCTACACACAAGTCTGACATAATTTACATGGACATTTATGGACCATTAGTCCGGAGTAAGGGAGGAGTATGCTATTTATTAGTAGTGTACAATTTGTTCACAAAACATGTCGAATTATACCCTCTCAAACGTGCGACGTCCAAGGCTATTATCAACCGGTTATTCACCAGCTATTTTCCGACTTACGGGCTAGTGTCACGTTTGTTACATGACAACGGGACACAATTCACTTCGCGATTATGGAGGGAAAAAATGCAAGAGTCGCAGATAAGGCTGGTATACAGTTCGGTGAGGCACACCTGTGGTAACCCCTCGGAAAGAGTAATGCGGGAGTTAGGCCGATTGTTCCGGACGTACTGTTCCGAACAGCACAAGCGCTGAGCGCAGGAGGTTCCTCGATTCGTTAATTTTTTGAACAGCGTAGTTCACGAGTCTACAGGTTTTACGCCTAATGAACTTCAGTTGGGCAGAGAAAGTCCAAAGTTGCTTCCTGAGTCCTTGATGCATCCGATCCAACCATCATCTAAATCACCTGCCCAGAAACTGATATTGGCCGAGGCCACTTTACGTGGTAAAGCGGCGCGTCGATCTTTGAGGTATCCTGGACGCCCTTTCCCCAAATTTCTAGTTGGAGACTTAGTGCTTCTAAAAGCAAATAATACGTCATCCGCAATAAAAGCAGAAACCAAAAAGTTCCTACTATTGTTTGAAGGCCCCTATAAAATCAAAAAGGCTGTGAGTGACGCGACCTTCGTGCTTTTATATCCGGATGGTAACAAGGAAAGAGGTACTTTTCATGCGTCCCATTTAAAACCTTATCGACCACCCAATGTCCGTTAGCTATACTACAACTTAGGCTCAGGAATATTACCTACTCTTATTATTACTTCCCCTGAAGTTGAGGGGGTAAGATGTAGCAGGACAAGAGTGGCGATACTCTTTGCTTTTCATGTGCTAGTAATCTTTCTATTCAAACTATTTGCCTATTCGTCCAATAAATAGATGTCGCCTGCATCCACATTCTAGTCCTAAATTTTTTGCGTGTTTATCAGTCCGGTACCCACGAGAGTTTTTCTTGTTGAGCATTCGTGTTGGTGTTGAAGAAATTGGGAGAAAGAGAAATTGGACGTCATGTCAATCTTTGCGTAATCCGATGCTGTTTTCTTAGTTCGAAATAGCGTATATGAGTAGTCAAGAAGCGAACCTTTTGGTTTTGACAATAATATTATCCTGAGATTATTGGTGCCAGGTCCTTTTTAGATGAAAATATAATTCAAAACATCAGAAGCAATCACTGATTGTTCCTCCCTCAGTTTTGACACCCTACACCTGAGATTTTATTACGTAACCAGCATATCACTTGCCGGTTTTGTGACACATTTGCTATCGAATTCGAACAAAATAAATTGAATTTACGTGACATGAAATAATTTAAAAAAAAAAAATTATTGTCGCCGACGGGCTTGAACCACCGACCTTCGTATCACCGCGCAACAAACCTATCAGTTGAGCCACATCACCTGGTAATTATAATAGTTACAATAACTTGAGTCACTGATAAAGATTACTTTAAAAAGGAATTTGAATTCTAGTATTGTTGTCAGACAGTCAACAAATATGCAAACTTATTAAATTACACATGAAACGTCCAGCCAGAATGAAATTGTCTCGCCTTTCGTACAAAATGTCTCACTAACGCGAATTATAAGTAAATAAAATGAAGTAGGTACTTAGGTTATTGTCTCTTGTGTCAGATTTGAATACAAAGCAATCTTAACCAGACACGATGTCAAAATTTTATCGCTGATAAACGAGGTTTTTTGGTCACGTGGGGGTCAATTCGGCTTCTGTATTGGTAGAGCAAGTCCGATAAAATTTAATAAACAAAAAATATCGCTAGAATACAGAAGAAACCGTGAAAATGGTCGATTCTGATTGGTTCTCGAGATCAAGAGTGGAATAGTCATATAAAAAGTTCCTATTATCAATATAGAACATTTTGTGAATGATATAAAGATGATATTAAAATGAAGACAATCACTCACAGAAATTGACTTAAGAATTATCCAAAATTTTGTACAATCCTTTATTTTGCGTGATAATTTGTCTGTTGATTATAACAAAACGTTTTAGAACCTGTTCTGTTGATAATACCAAATCTTTTCTCTCTGAGAAGGAACGAGCAGGCCAATTGGACGGTGCCCAGAGAGATGAAGAAGACAGGCGGGGAGTCCTACGCTCCCAATCCTGCTTACAACAGCAGCAGCATCAACAGGATCGTCGATAATTTGCAGAAGGGCACAGGAGGGGTGGATGTTTACAAGCCAGCTTTGCCTCAAGGGTGGACTGCTAATAAACCATGCGGTGAGTTGCAATAATAGTGGAAAACAACTATGGAATATCAACTGAGAAAAAGCCAAAATTCTCAAAGTGGAACAAAATGTTAAATAAATAGATACAGAAGTGATAGTCACTTCCAGAAATACTCATGAAATGAACAATAATGGTAGATGACGGGAGAAAAACAACAACCTTCCTGGGTAATATCACGCCCTAGTAAACACACTTGTAATATTTACATATACAGACTGTCCAAGATAAGGTTGAACAGCATGGGGATCTCGCAAACGGTAGGAGATACGAAGTCGGTCAAATGGGGAAAAAGTTGCGCATTCGGAGGCTCATATCAAGAGCCTTCGAATTCTTGGAATATCTATTTTATTTGTTTCTCCGTTATCATTAGAGATACAGAAAAACTGAAAATACTTTTTCAAAGCAACTTTCGATGACGTTTAACGTGGTAATACCAATTTTTCTATGCGACGTTTCGTATTCGTAGAACCATCAACAACTTTTGTTTTTAAATACGGTCCTGATTTTTTCACAGATTCTGAAAGGTTTTTTTATTCTGAATTCAACCATGTATTATACAAGGTGGTTTATGTGTGTTTCGACCTATTTTTAATCATCATCAATGTTTTTTCGAAATTCCAAAGGAAAAATGCCACCATTTCCACTTATTTTGAAGGAAAATTAGTCAACACACTAATACCTCATCAACTGGTTTCAATCAACAACCCATTTCATTTTGCGGAAACAAAAATTCCATCCATACAAATTCAAAATATGTCAAGCGCTAAAACCAGGCGATAACGAAAGGCGCAGGACATTCTCTGTGAGTGGTATACCAGGAAATGTCAAAATTTTGCAGATTTCCCGCGAACAATCATCTGGACTGATGAAAGCATGGTCACTAATCATGGTATCTTCGATAGAAAAAATACACATTATTGTTCACGAGTCACGAGAAAATGAACATTTATGCATTACAGCGAGACACCAACACCGTTTCGGCTTTAATATGTGGGTTGCAATATTTGGTACACGAATTATTGGTCTCAACTTCCTAACGTTATAGAAATTTGCTTGAGAATCACCTTGAGGAAGCTCTGGACGATTTTCCGATTGCGGAAGTTCAGAACTGTTGGTTTCAACAAGATGGCGCTCCGGTACATAATTCCAGAGGAGTTCGTGCGTTTTTATCCAGAAAACTGGATTGGTACTCATTCTGCAGTCCCTGGGCCAACGCGGTCACCTGATTTGACACAGCTGGATTTTTTTAAGGGATATATCAAAAAGTTTGTATACGCAAATAGCTTTGATGATGAAGAAGAACTAAGGGACAGTGTCATCGAAGCATTCAATAGGATGACCCCAGAAATGCTTAGTAATATCTCAGAAGCAACTGTGAGAAGAGGATATCTTTGTTCAGAAAATGATGGTTATCATTTTTGAACATTTGTTATGAATGTTTCTGAAGGTATTGTCGAAGTTAAGTTGTTAAAGTAATTCGTGTAAGAGTTCATCAACAATTTCAAGCGCTGCATTGAACGATGTAGTGAAATATTTTTCATTCACTTTTCAGTATTTGATAAATAATCCATCAATGTTTGACACTAAATGATCAAAAATAAATGGAACTGATGGCACTTTTCTTTTGGAAGTTCGAAAAAACAATGATGATGGATAGAAATAGGTTGAAACACATTCGAATCACCTTGTATGATACATGGTTGAATTCAGAATAAAAAACCTTCCAGAATCTGTGAAAAAATTATCAGGACCGTATTTAAAAAACAAAAGTTGATGATGGTTCTACGTATACGAAACGTCGCATAAAAAAATCGGTATAACCACGTTAAACGTCATCAAAAGTTGCTATGAAAAAGTATTTTCAGTTTTTCTGTATCTCTTATAATAACAGAGAAAAAAAATAAAATAGATATTCCAAAAATTCACTCTTTTCGATATAACTAAAAAACTAAAAATAATTTCAAAAATTTCCGAAGGCTCTTGATATGAGCCTCCAAATGCGCAACTTTTTCCCCATTCAACCGACTTTGTTTCTCCTACCGTTTTCGAGATCCCCATGCTGTTCAACCTTATCTTGGACAGACTGTATATGCCGTCAGTTTCAACTAACAGATCTTCCATAATTTAATTCCTTCGATTGACGTCAATGTGCTGTATTTTGTGGATACAAAATTGACATAATTCTATTTTCCTTGAATTCACAGCAATGTTATATGTAAATATCACTTTTAGATAATATTCTTACATACCTACTAATTATATGACATCTTCGTGACTATGATTATGTTCATACAATATCTAGGAAATTATGTCAATTTTATATGGATTCATTCACAAGTTTTGCAAACGGACGTGAAAACGACCAATTTAATTGCAGTATTTCTCGAGTTTTCACGAAGAAACACGAAAGATAGATTATCGAGTTGGACTCGCTCGCAGTTCGAAGTGGTCTCGTTTTAAGTTAGAAATAAAATGGCGTCAACGTTGTTATGTTTTGTTGTGTTATTGTTCCTCAACCAGCGAGTTGAGCTAGTGCCTTGAGAAGTTAGCTATATAAGTTTGAGAAATTAAATTGGACTCTATTTTGGTGAGTTGAAAAATATGTTAAATTCTAGTTTTTTTACATATTACAAGAAAACAAGAACCGCAAGGTAGATGATAGTAGTTTATTAGATTCATCAGCCATTTAAGGTGATTGTTCCAATGTGTATCAGTCAATTCAGAACGTTGAAGAGATTTTGAGACATGTAATGTAAAATCCTAGTCAGTGTTGTGCAACTATCCCAAATGATTTTGGAGTTCAAGTATTATATTATATAAGTAGTATGACCGAAAAGGGAATATAAAACTGGCAGACTCCACCTCAAATAACATCATACTGTAAGTTGGTATATATTCAATTTTTATGATGTATTTTCTGTTCAATGAAGTATTAATTAGTAGGATGACCGGAGTATCAAAGTTATATCTCAATTAGTGAGACGTAAATGTTATCTAGATTTTGACGTCACATTGACTACTCATTGATATTACTATAATATAACTAGTATTATATAAAAGTGATTTGACATATGATGTAACGTGATGTGGATATTATACACAGTTAACTCATGAATTTTGAGCCTACTCATTATAGTTTTGTAAATTCTTTTCCTGGCAAAATATTCAATTACATTCTCTCGAAATCTATGCATGGATCCGCAAGTGTTTCTTTCCCAAATTCCTATTGGTTTCTATTCAGACAGGTTAACTTTCAGCACATGCAGGTTTAATACTCTTGGCCCTCATCAGTGTTGACCTGATTTTTGTTCTGCCAGATTCAAGCTTAGTTGGCGGTCTTAGGACTGGAGACAACCTACACTGATGAGGGTCAAAAGTCCACAAATGTGTATAAAATGAACAAAAATGGTAGATCACTAGAGTTCCTAATAGCACACAACATCCTAGGAACGTCCCTATTTGGCACAATTCGAGTCCGAATGTCCCGGACCAAAAATGAGGTTCCTTGGGACGTCCCATCCCGTACATCTCATACAATGTCCGATCAAGGACGTCCACGGAATGTACCAGAAGGTACATCATTTCAAATGTCCTAGAAATAGCATCCCTTAGACGTCCCACGTGGTACATATTGTAGAATGTCCATGCAAGGACGTCCTTGGCATGTCCCTGATGAGATATGATCTTAAACGTTCCCGAGTAGTACATATTCTGCCATGAGTTCAGATCTCATATAATGAAATGTCCCTGATGGTAAATTTCTACAAATATCTCTGCACAAGACGCCCTTGATATATCCAGGATCGTATAATAATCGAAATGTCCCTTGGGGATATCCGTCGAATGTCCCAATTTGTACTTGAACTGTACTCTTTCAATGTCCTAGAAATAACGTCCTACGGACGTTCCAGTCGGTGCTTTCAATAGGTTATCCCTGCGAGGACGTTGACTTACACCTTGCCGACGAATGATTGCTCGTAGGCTATAAATACTCCCCGTCAATGTCCTTCACGTAAGTCCATTGTACATCCGTAGGAAACTTTTTCAGGATCTATTGGGGAAAAATTCATATTTAAGAATAATTCGGGCGTCCCTGGGACATCCTATGGATATCCAATTGATATCCCTCCGCATCGCTGATAGGTTGTCCTACGGATGTCCTAAGGATGTCCTCGGTAGTGCTTGATGAGGAATACTATAGAATTTAGATATTCGATAGTTATCCCAAGGACATCCCTCGAGGACGTCCCTTGTTGGTCCTCAAGTGGGACATTTGTGCGTCTCACAGACGTCCAATGGACGTCCACGGTACCGAATTCAAACGTCCTGAATGTCTTGACAGGACGTCCTAAGGATATCAATGCAACATTATTGTGTTATTAGGGCGGATATCAACTGCATAGATTTCAAGAGGATGTAATCAACCCTATCAACACAGGGACATCCTAGGTACGTCCCTTTTATGTCCCAACGTGTACTGTCGGTACAAGGACATGATTGGGACATCCCTATAGGATGTCCTGCTCAGTATTTCCAGGGGATGTCCCGACTGGGACATCCCTGAGTTGTCCCATTCATGTCCCTGATGTATATCTGAAATCCATTTGCTATTTGTATCAGAATTGATATGTCACAACAAAATATTGAAAATGCATATTTGTGATCCCACTGGGAAAATCTTGTCTCTCTGCTATATGCGTCAAACGAGGACAGATACCCTAATAACAACACAGGGATTTCCTAGGTACGTCCCTTTTTTGTCCCGCGGTACAAGGACATGATTGGGACATCCAGGGGATGTCCTGCAGTGGTTGTCCAGTGGACATTCCGCCCGGTACATCCCTAGGTTATCCTATTCGTGTCCCTGGAGTATCTGATATCCATTGACATCAGAGTCATTGAATTTCATCAAACTATTGAGTTGAATTTTTTCGAAAATGTTTGTTTCTGTTCCGGAAAATGATTGTAATGAAAATAAAGAATAAAGTCTCAGAACTTTTTGAGAAATTACCATTTTTCGCAGACAGAAATCGTACATGCATAATGCCCCTCATTTTTAAACACCCAAGAATGATAATAATTATACCCAATTCCTAATAAAGTTGTATTTATTCAGGTTTCTGTAGTTAAGTTCTGTTTATAAATCTGTTTAGTACATAAATCTTCAGGAGGCATGATAGCCAATGGTGCAAGGTGCGTGCATGATAAGCCAAAGGTCCCGGGTTCAATCCCTACTCGACCTGCAACTTTTTTCTTTTGTCGAAAGGATGTCCCTGGGATATCCTTGGGACGTCCAAGGGATATCCCTTTATCGTACTTGGTACATCCCAGGGACGTACCAGAAGGACATCCCTTGGATGCCTTTTTTAGCGGCCAGCGGATGTCCCTGGGACATCCCTAGTATGTACGTTGTCCCGACAAAGGACATCCCTGGGATGTCCTAGTATAGAATCAGGGACGTCCATGGGAAGTCCCTAGGATGTACTGGTGTTGTTAGGGAAGGCTCTGCGTGGCATTAGCCAGGAAAATAAATGTTTTTCCTTCCGTCATCTACCATTGTTTTTCATTACAAGAGCATTTATGGAAATGGTTTCGAGTTCTGTATCCATTCGATAAAGGAGAAGTCTCAGAGTGTTATTAGTTGAGGTAGCCCTGAGTGACTTCACAGATACACAAAGAGAATGGTCAGCTTCATAATTTTTGCTGCGTGAATAATATGTTGATTCTATAGCTTTTCTAATACCTCTCGATAGCAATCTTATGGTGATGAACACCTACATGGCAGACTATACAATAGTAATGAATAAGTCAGTTAAATGATCCACTTATTTTCATAATTCAAAGTTATTTAATGAGCACCGCTCGGAGAACAGTATAGGAGGAAAGTCAGATATTTCAGTCACTGTGATGAAATTAGCTCGATTAGCAAAATGTTATCAAAATCAATAGCTCAGTTTTGACATTACTAACAGCAATAAAGATTATTTGCTTTCGGCACAGGTAACTACAACCATATCACAGTCGATCTCCAGCCAAGGGAAGAAAGAAAATCTCCTTCCCCTTTCCCTACTATCCCAGACATTTCCGCCAATCCAGGCGACCTGGAAATAGAAAAACCGAGAAGCCTAAGATCACCTTCCCCTTTTCCCACAATACCAGATATCGAGATGAACCCTGAATTAGTTTATGAAGACTTTCCACCCAGAAAGGAAAAATCTCCTTCACCGTATCCGAATATTCCAGATATATCTGTTGATCCAGAACTCACGATGGAACAACAGTTCGAAAATCACTCAGAATATCATAATGAAGTATATGTGAGAAAAGACGAGAATTCGAATGAACAGTACGAAGAACACGAAAAATTGCCCATGCTCCATATACCAGACATTTTCAAGTATTTGGACAAATCCAAAGATACCAATTTCTATAGACCAGTCACTGACATCAAACCTCGGCAAATTCTCAAGCCTGAATTCGGCTTTGCTCTAGACGAGCATTGGGGTAAAACGATTGAAAACAGCTTTTCTCCTACAACTTCAAACTTGGGATCCCTTCAGTCTGAAATTTTTGAGAGTCAAGGTCACTTCAATGCTAGCAGATCTTGTTCTCCGTACCCAGTGTATGTTCCGACATATGAGCCTACAACAGAAGAGAATAACAAAAATCAAAGGCCCTCATCTGATGAAAGATCGACGAACACAAAAATCTTCATTGAAACCTCAAAACCGAAGGATCCAAAGTATGAGGAGCACATGAAGAAAGTAGCTTTGCTCTCTGATAAAAATAAATCGGAGACTCTCATGCTGCAGAAGGGGTGCTTCAAAGAATTGAAGGAGAAAAAGATAATGAAGAATGAGAGAACTCTTGAAAAATTCTCTGGAGCTGAACAGATTTATTCTGAAGAAGAACCAGAGTATGCTGAAGCAGAAGTAAATATAAAGGATGTAGAAATTCAAACTCAAGACTACGAGTCCACACAGTTTCAAAACTTTGGAGTAAAAGAAAAAGTTATGAAAACTGAAACTACACCTTCCGAAATCGAATTGGATATAAAACAAATTTCCATTGATGGTGACGTCCACAAACCCACAGACGAAAACAATTCATCGAATGATAATGAATTGAAGGAACAAGAAGTGTTAACAAATGCTAAATTATTGGAGAATAATGAGATGTTACATAATGCTGAGGTATTGAACACTGCTGAAGTAACAGCGAACAAATTGGTTGAACCCATTGGAGAAGTGGCCGTAATGAAGGATCCAAATGAAAGAACCACTGAGGTACCTGTAACTAACAGAAAAAACTCTAAAAAAGCCAGTCACGATACGACTATCGAGCCCATAAGATGCAAAAAGGCACCACAAGCAATCATTGGGGCTAGACCGCTTTTTGGGCAATTAGACATCAACTCAGAATTCAAAAAGGCGGTCATAGATCGACAGAAGTCGGTGCAATCTAAGAGATCGAGGGATGTCAATGAAACTATTAGTAAGTCCAACGGGACTGAACCAAGAATAAAAGTGGAGAAAATGGAAATGGAGAGACGCGAAGATATTGGGGAAGAATCAAAATTGGAAACGCAATTCAAAAAAATGGAGACTGCGGAGGTGCAGATTTTCAATCCCAGTAAGAATGAAGAGATCGAAAAGATCAATTATCAGCAAGAAAGGGAGTACCATATTGATTTCCAGAAAGTAGGAGATGAGATTATTTTACCAGAGAGTTATTCTAAGATCCTAGATAATCAAGATGTTCGTGTGTTTGAGCTGCAGCTGAACAATGATACTCCTCACACTGACATAGAAACAGGGGAGGACTATAAGAAAATACCAGTAAAATCTTTGATTCAGTCATTTGAACAGTCAGCTATGCCTGCCTTGAAGTATAAGCAATTAAGAGACCCTTTACCGGACGTAGTTGAAAAATTCATACCGGCACAGACCGTTCAAAAAAGCAACGGAACCAAAGAGATCCAAAGATCGTTTCAAGAAATTGTTACAGATGATATATCGATGAATATGTACCATGTAGCAAATGTGGAAGTTAAATCTGAGTATTTTCCTCCTGATCAATCCAAAATGCATTTCCAGTATTCCCAGGATAGCTCCTTCTGCAAATATTCGCCTCCCATGCCTCCAGATATTCCTGCTGATGTTGCTTGGCAGTCTACAGAAAGCAGCAATGGTTTCGCTAATATGTTGCTTGATGAAGGCAAGCTTTCGATGTGTTTTGCTTTTGCAGTGTTTGCATGCTTGTGATTTGTCCCAAACTATTTTATTGGAGGAGAGTTTCACGATGTGTTTTGCTTTTCCAGGGATATATTATGATTTTTTTAAGTATCCTCATCTGAGCAACACGAATCACAGAATGGAAAATTCACCGAATAACCCAGGAATAACACTATGATCCGTTTGCTTGCTGAAATCCAGTAGTCGGTTTTATTATCGTAACCTATATTTTTTGAGGCGCTTAATCGGAATCTGGTGTAATTAAAAAATAGTCTCCAAATTGATAGCCGAGGCCGAGGCTAGCAATCAGGCGAGACAATAGACTGTTTTTCGCCGAGGGACATATTTAATCTTTTCGCCGACCTCAAGCACTTATATCCACATCATCGTCTTATTCACACGTTAATCTATTCGTGAAAGAATAATTCAACAGCAGCAACAGCAAAAGTTCTTGTTAACTCTCTCTCCACGCGTACCAAGGATGCAGATTCAACTTTTATTTCATCAGTAATGAATCCCTTGTCAAAAATGCAGATCTATTTTTAATGAAACTAAATCCCTAAATTCTAAAATAGAGTATAAAACATACAGAAATTATCTCAACTCACTCCTTAAAGAAACCAAAAATGAATACTACATGAATAAAATAGAAGAGGCGAATAAAATTTAAAAAAAATTGGCAACAAATTAATGAAATAACAAATAAAAAAACTCACTCTAGGGACAGTACCAAATATGACATAATTGATGAAAATAGGGACGAAATTGCAGATGACCTTAGCAAAGCCAACTATTTTAATAATTTTTTTTTCAACATTGGTCTGAACATGGCAAATAAGATCAATAAAAAAACTACTCCCATTCCCGAACAAAAATTCAATATTCAAGTTCCTATTCCTCCATCCAGTAACACGCAATGAACTATAACGAATCTGATTTCTAGTTTAAAAAACAATACTTCTGCTGGTCCTGATGGAGTGTCTGTTTATTTCATAAAAAAAAGTCACCAATACTTCCTTGATCCCCTATGTCATATATTTAACAAATGTTTTGTGAATGGCACGATTCCAAATAATTTCAAAGAAGCCACCACAACGCCTATTTTCAAAGCCGGACACAAAAAACTCGCCACAAACTACAGACCCATATCGCTAATAAATAACTTTGCGAAACTTTTTGAATAGTGCTTTAAAAGTAGACTTGTAAATTTCCTGGAAAAGCATGAGATTTTATCACCATGCCAATATGGATTCAGAGAAAATATGTCAAGGGAAAACGCCGTGTTTCACTTAGTGAATAAAATACTGAATAGCACCAATAATGAAGAGAAAAAGTGTCTAGCAGTGTTTTTAGACTTGGCCAAAGCCTTCGACACTGTCAATCACGATATTTTGTTACAGAGATTAGGAAATGTGGGAGTGAGAGGCAAGTCTTTGGAATTATTAGCCGATTATTTACAAGGTCGAACCCAAAGGGTCAAAATTAATGATACCTATAGCCAGCCACAGCCAGTCGCCATGGGTGTTCCCCAGGGCACTGTCATGGGTCCAATTCTGTTCCTAATATATATCAACAGCATTTACAACTTGAAAAACATTGAGGGTGATATTATTTCGTTTGCTGATGACACGGCCTTGATTTTTTATGATAACACATATGGGACTCTACTTATGCGAAAGCACAAAACGGATTAAACATTATATTTTCCTGATGGCTGAATTCTAGTCTTCTGAGTCTAAACATCGATAAAACCAAATTCTTGACCTTCTCACCAACAACAAATAAAGAGACCAACCACTAGAGGAAAACATTTTCATACATACCCCCAACTGCCAAAATCCTTTAATTTGCTCCTGTCCACGTATAAAAAAAATGGATTCCATCATAAAATATCTGGGTGTGATATGCTTGACCAACATTTACGCTCTGGGACAAACATGTAGACTTTCTCGTGAAAAGACTTAGAAAACTCATTTTCAAATAGTTATAAGGTACTGTATTATTGTTTGGGGTGGGTTGAATAAAACACACATACATAATCTTCAAGTAATACAAAACACCTTGCTTAAAATAGTACTGAAAAGAGTGAGAGCTTATACAAGGAGGCTAGCTTATTTAATATCAGAAATTTATGTATACTATGGACGATGAACTCGCCTCTTACATATCTAAGACACATACATGACACCCCCGAGCCAGATCCGAGAGAACAATTAGTGTTCCAAAGGTTTGTTACTTTATTTCTTTGGACCAAAACTTGTCAATCGAGTTCCCATTGAACTACGAAATATAAAAATCTTTTAAAAACGCAAGAAAACAATCAGATCCTTCGTCGATCACAACTTTGATTCCCTAAAACAAACACTCGAATCTCTCTACTGAACCATGGCCGAATAATTTATTAATATCATATTGGAAGCTGTCTCCCTTTTGCCTGAGTGTCTTGTCCGATCCTCCTGTGAGTTGATCATTGATTTTTGTTGATTTTTAATTCATATTTTTTACTGAAATGAATGAATAGTTTCCTTCATCTTATTTTTTTTTTCTATTTACCTTCATGGTTGTGTCCAGATCTGGGAAAATACGCAACACAAGCTCTGCTTATATAGGCGTCTCCCAAGAACTGAACACCACCACTTATTTACTTATTTAGTTAATAATTTCTTTCTTTCGCAATTTAATGTTATAAGATACTATTTATTTACGATATGTAACATTAACAATATAACAGAACATGTATGTATGTATCTGAATTGAATTGAATAAATTGATTGATTGATTGATTGATTTTAAATTATACGGATCACAAGAAAGGATAATGAAATAAAGAAATGACGTCAAAACATCATGTACTTTTAGTAAACAGAAAAGTGACCTATTTTCAACAAAATAGAAACAATTGAAACAAACATTCTCATAAAAGAATAATCATATTACTAATTCTCAATGTAGATACACTCACAAATATCACATATAATACAATTACAATTATAAGATTCGAGTATATCAAAAACAGGAACGAATAGTGAAATTGAACAACAAAAATACACAACAAATGAAAAAGTTAAACTCAAAAAACAACCTGATGTTATAGTATAGAGGTTTATAAAAAATTGAATATGATCTGAATCAGATAAAGTAGGTATTGTCCTCTTTTGGTCCATACACATCATGAAGTATCTATATGTGAAATCATCACTTAATGTCAAAATATTTTTCAGTAGATCATGAAATGATCGAATGTGAAAATTCAGTAGAACTATAGCAACGCTGCAGCGGACGAAGTGTTTGCGGTCGAAAAATTAGTATCTGCGGACGGAAAGTACTTGATGCCTTATTCGGAAATAGTCGATTTCTCGTTCGAAAATCAGAACATGAAATGTGATATTTTGTAGAGGTCGACGAAAGAGTTGATTTGCCGCACTAGTGCTGAAAAGTGACCGTCTTGCACGATTTTTGTATTGTTGAGAATGAGGATATTTAGGACTGACTGAATGATATATGTAACTTTTTTATTTTGTAGCATTATTATGGAATCTTGTCTTATTAAAAACCTATTATTTTTCATGAAATATATTGTTGCGGAAAAGTTCTAAATAAAATTAGACATTTGTTGCAGTCGGTCTGAGTTATGCGCGTATTCACAGTACTTATTTTGTTGCTTATTCATACTTTTTTGTTCTCACTTGTAGCTACTGTTATATTCTTACAAGTATTTTAATCCTCACACGCATTAAACGTTTCAACCCGATCGGTCTAGCCGTTTGGTAGTTGACGTACCGACCGGAGCGCCACCTACCGCGCTTAATATCATTTCTGATCATTCAGGAAACCAACGAAATACCCATATAAAATTTCAGCACAACCGATTCACCCATTTGGAAGTTATGTGAAGAAGATAAGTACGGTAGAATTCTCAATTCTCAATGTTTTATCACCCGTTTCCCCGTAGGGACGAAGCATTTCCCTGCAGTCGAAAGTTGCCTATGTAGGAGAATTTTTTGTATAGGTCTAGTAGTTTTGGAGCGTATTCAATACAAACAAACAATCAAATCTTTCCTCATCATAATATTGGTAAAGATTATCTTCACTACATTCTACACACTTTGTTAAATTTGATATTTCCTATCACTGCTCGACTCTAGACTTTTAGACAAAAGTCCCCTTAAGCTGTATGGGCATCGAAACACGACCAGATAACACCAACCATCGGCCCAGCATTTGTAACACACATCTCTTCTGGCAGTTCATGTACTTTCCCGGCGTAGAGGTGTCCAGGCGGCCGCTAGCCGGCCGTTATGCACATTACCGGCAATTAAATTATTGACTCATTGATGGGAGCACTCAGCCACCAACGTATATGCGTTTGCAAATCCGTATCAAGGAGGATGAGTTTTTCGAGCACTTTCCAATTACCTCTACCAATGATGCATTGAAATTTGTTGCCTCTGTAGCACTTCTAAGTCAATAATTTGATCGCCGGTAATGTATATTACGGCCAGCTTGCGGCCGCCTGGACACCTCGACGCCGGGAAGGCATTACAGTTCGATAGTCGTCCCTCAGTTCCCAAGGAGGTCGGTGTTATCTGGGCGGCACACCCTGTATACTTGTGCGCAATGCAATGATCTCTCCAATAATGTTCACAGGATCAAACACTCTCCCGAGATGCAAGCCCAAAGCTCCACTATCGCCCAGCTACAAACATACCACCAAAAACTCCCCGGTCTTCATCCCAAAAGAGAACTACCCTTCTTCGCCACCGCAACCCTCCTCGCACGAATACGAACCTACGCTGCAGATATCCGGGCAACAATCGGGAAAGAAACTGGATCTGGGCAACCTCCAGAACTACAACACGGCCCCTAGGGGCTGGGGCGAGTCCAAGACTTTCTACAGGCCTGTCAGATTGGGTCAGCCTAGAGGGGCTTACTCTGATTTCTAGATCGGAGTTTTTTTTTGGCTTCGTTCATGACGGAGTTTTTTTACTGCTTAACTACATAAGAGAAATAACTGATGTGGGTATAGCAGAACAGCGCTAGGTTGGATACATTTCTAGTTCAGTCATTATATCCAAATAACGGACCTTACCCGTGAATAATTTTTTAGTAGTTTTTTTTCATAGGTGTCTCGGGGGGGTCACTGGGAGTGTAAATTCAAAATGGCGACCAAATCAAGCTTTTGCGTATGTTCGAAAACTGTTTTTTTTTTGTTAAAAAACGGTTTTTCTTGAATAACTCGGCCATTTTTGATTCTACAGAAAGTTTGGGGACAAAAATTGTAGTAAATTTGATTCTCTACAAGTTTGGTCCTCACAATTTTTCTGATAGGATCGATACTTTGTAAATTAAACCTGAAAAAAGCGACAAATTCGAAATATTTTTATTATCTCGTTTATTTTCAACTTTACGGCATAAATGAACAGAAACAAACTTGTAGAGAATCAAATTTTGGACAAATTTTGTCGTTACCTGTTTTTCCGAAAATCGATATTTTCGGAATTAAACCTAAAAAAACGACTCATTCGAAATATCATCATTATCTCGTTCATTCTCAACTTTACACCATAAATGAGAAGAAACAAACTTGTAGAGAATCAAATTTTGGACAAATTTGGTCTTACCTGTTTTTCCGAAAATCGATATTTTCGGAATTTAACCAGAAAATATGTACCCATTCAGAAATATATTCGCAATATCTCCTTTTCAATTCTGCAGGTGCAACGAATAGGGCGAAAGTTGTATACAATAAAATGAAAATGATAATGAAAATATTTCGAATTTGTCGCTTTTTTCAGGTTTAATTCACAAAATATCGATCCTATCAGAAAAATTGTAAGGACCAAACTTGTAAAGAACCAAATTTACTACAATTTTTGTCCCCAAACTTCTTCTGTAGAATCAAGAATGGCCGAGTTATTCAAGAAAAACCGTTTTTTAACAAAAAAAAAAAAAAAAAAAAAAAATAGTAGATAAGATTTATTTTACCTAATTCAGTACTTTTTTCGATACCTATAGGTAGGTACTTGAAACAATGACGAATCATCAGATGATTTATCCATATCTTACTATTAAGAAACCTGAGAGAGAAAAGTAGTCAATTTCAGTCACTGGCACATTTTTGGAAGAAACGCGAAGAAATATATAGGAACTTATTTATATTGGGAATTATGAACTTTAATATCTTCATCTTTGGAATTCTCTGGAACCAATCTGCTTCTGTTTTCATCATAAAAACGGGGACATTTTTTTCACACATACTCTTTGCTATTATTCATTATTCAATGACATAATAAGTGAACAGAAGAGTCACGAGGTTTATTCCTAGGCAACCAGATGACGTTCCAGTGTGACGTCTTTTTTACGTGACGTAGTAGCTTGTCAGTGACAATTTGTTTAAAAAAATGTTTGAAGGAAAGGAATATAGATATATTGAATTTTTACTTATCTTTGGACGTTTCGGGACCGAATCTGACAAGCTACTGGATTTTTCTTTTAGACTCCCTGATAGAAAAATTTGTTAAACGCAGTGACATTTTGGGGCAAATCATCTGATTTGTCCCACTACAAATATATTGAAATAATACGAATATTTTCATTTTATAGAAACGATGAGAAAATCCCAAAGAATCAATTAAAATGAATATACCACCTCCTCGATCAACCAACAGACAGTACTCAATACTTATAATTTTATATATATAGAATTATAGATGAATCCATTTCTTCATGTTTATAATACATGTAAGAATATTCCATTTGAATACTTCCATACCGAATCTAGGGGTTCAAATTTGAACAATGGAAACTTGTTATTTTTATAGACGTCTAAATCGCAGATTCGTGATTGGGTTTCATCAAGTCAGTATTTCTTTCCACCTCCTGCTGTGTGACGAATATCAATTCGTCATACAATCAAAAACAATATATATATTAAATATGTTCAAAATATTTCAACCTATCAGCCCCTTTCATATATACGTCGGTGAACCAAACACCCTGTATATCGAAAAATTGCTCTCATTCAGAATGTTCTTCCTCTTATGTAGTTATTCTATGTTATTTAATATTGTTATTTGTTGTTTGAGTTTGTTATGTGTTGCTGGGCGTTTATTTTTCAGCTTCAATTGTATAATATATCTATAGTCGTAAGGTTATTTGGAATAGATATGTAAATCTGTTATTATTAAACACTCATACCTACCAGGTGTTTTTTTAATTGAGCCACCCCCTTGGTGTCTATTGATGAAGAAATGCAATCCAGTAAGTTGGCATAATAATTCTTTTGACGTATGTATTTCAATTCTGTATCTGCAAGTTACACTGGAAATTTAACTCTACTTCCATATTTTGAATGGGACACCTGGGATATTTTCACTTATTTGAAATTTCTATACATATAATACTATTCCACACCTCTTGAGATTCTTACGTAATATATGACCAATCGCAAACCAAACATCGCGATAATACTATATTAGGCACTTTCTTGACATTTTTCACCCTGATATTTAATTAGGTCTTCTACAGGTTCCTTCGAACTTCACGAAATTTCAATGAATAATATAACTCTTGTTCTTTAACGTGGCCAATTACCATCATATTCAAGAAAGGACATCTTTAAATTATAACGAATAATTCAATTCCACACGATCGCCGTTTCAACTCATTTATGGCACTTCAGACAGATAGATGTCGGAGACAAATGGGCTGTCATTATTGTACTCACAATGTGATTTCCTATTGAAATAAGTGAAAAAATACCCAGTGTTTTATTTAAGATGATAAGGAAGTAAAGATTATATCCGATCAAACCAGTATCGACAGAAAATAATTGAATACGTCAAAAAATGCAAATTCATGTGGTATACTCACACACCGAAATCCATTTGTATATCTGTAGACAGATAAAAGAAATAGGGTGAGCCACTTTTGAGAAACACCCGGTGTACAATACAATATTCGTATTCGTAATTCTTCATGAGGTTTGTGATGTGAAATAAATTGATTATTAAAATAAATATTGGAACTTTTTTTGGGTGCATGAAATTAATTTTGACATTGTTAATGTCATAAACTGATTTGATTTAGGTGCAAGTTTGTTTAACGAAAAACCGACCCTAGAGTGAGACAATCCCTACTTTTCTGATTTGTTTAATTGTTTTGTGCATGACCTGGCGTGAAGTGGCATTTTATCGCCCGGATTCACGGGCGTAAAAGCAGTACAGCGGAATGTTAAGTAGTCCGGCGGGCAGTAAAGTAGATCTGGCGGTTAAGTAATCTCACTGTTTGCGCCCAAAGGTGCCTGAGCAAAGGTCTGAGAGGTGCCAACATGTATATCTGCTCAGACAGCCAAGTCGCACGGAAATTCCTAAAACCATTTGTTTTCACATCAAAGAGTAGGTACATGAGATTGCTTTGAAACACACATGCAACTGGGAAAGGACAACAATAAAGTCACACTAATATGGATTTGAAGCATGAAGGAATCAAAGGAAATGCGATCTGCTTTGTTTGGTCCTGAGCCTTTTTGTGGGATAAGCAAATAATGTCAACTAAAGGGAGAATTCAGGAAATGAGGAGAAATGGAAAAGTCATTCTACTGGAGAGCAACTCCAGGTCAACCACAAGCGAAAAGGTTCATCAATCATTCGCAGTACCGAGCCAAGGAGCTACACAGCCTCAGCAAACCAGAGCTGAAGCTTATCACTGGCTTTCTCACTGTCCTCTGAGGTACTTCCTAAAAAAGATGGGCCTGACGGAGACTGACACTTGCCACTTTTGCAACAATGCGACTGAAACCGCGGAACACAGACTTTGCTGATGTGAAGTATTAGTCCGCCAAAGACTAAATCACCTAGAACAGGTCGATCTCACACCTGCTGAGGTGAAGAATTCAGCCGCCAGGAAAATTCTGGGCTTCATCAGAAGTCTATAGGGTTGGAGGACCAAAGCTAGATAATACAATGAAAGTGCAACATACGTACACTGAGAAAACTTGGCCAAGTAAATCGTTTTCTTGAAAAAAACTCGATTGTGACAAGAACATTTTCACCAACGGTAGGAAAATGAAGTACCTACTTGAAGTAGGCAAAACAATATTTCTGGAACAATGTTTCGGCTGTGAGTGATCTGGACACTTATTCTTTACCAAAGAATACAAAAGAGTTTGAGATTAATAAATTAGAGAGACTAGTAGTCGAATTCAAGTGACACACCTGATATACAGCGTTTGTCTCACTCAAACCTCCCCCCCCCCTCTGTATCTCAGCTATATTGTGGTGCTATTCTTACCAAATTTGGACTGATGTGAATAACCCAATATGATCAGTTTTTTAGAGACAAGCATCATTATCGACGGTGTCATGCGTTTTTATTGAAATAAAAATGGTCGATTCGTTATGAAATCATATTAGGATTTTTTAAGCAGGAAAACTAACTTCATAGTATTATTCCTCATGCTTTCGAATATATACATTAATATGCAAAAATTCGACCCATTCCAAACTACCAGCTTAAGCTTAATTTTTTTCATTTTTTGCCCCGAAAAAAATTATTAATTTAAATTAATTGCAAATGTTTGAAAATTCGATGGCTCCGGTAGGTAGAAAATTATGCTTTGAAAGAAATGACATGAAGAACAATATCGTTAATTTAGTTTTCCCATTGAAATATGCCCAATATGATTCCATGAAGAATCGATCCCTTTTTGTTTCAATAAAAACGCACGAATCTGTACAAAATGATGTTCGTCTCTGGAAAACTGATCCAAATTTGGCAAGAATCGTCCGATTGATAATGAGAACTCGAGGGGGACCGTTTAAAATGAGAGAAGCTGTATGTATAAACGACTGGGTTTCCTCAATTCAGAATTTTCCACACCCAGTATGATGAACTTTAGTTCTTCCTAGAACAGCACAAACGGTTAATTTCACGTGATTTCAGG